ACTACTGTCAAAACAAATCGGTTAAAAAATTCATTCATACCACACACATGTCAACTCTGCAATAATCAATTCTCCAGATAATCACTGTCGTCGATTAGGTACCATAGTATTTTAAGTCCATTCCACTGTCCTTCTTTTTAGTTAAGTTAGTTAAGTTTTTGGTGCTAATATTTTGAGTAATATTTATATTTATATTTTTGTGATATGCATGTTATTTTGTTTTATTGTATAGCACAGGAAAGCATATTTCATGTATAATTTTATGTGACAATAACATCTATCTTGAATCTTTGAATATTGACAGTGACGCCACCATCCCTACTAGCAATCGAGGAAATGAGGAAACTTGAAATCAATAGGTTCGCAAGACGCAAGATGGCATTGTCTTTTCCAAGTCACAGTTATAGAGAAAAGTTTGATACCATGATCAACAAATATTGACTGAATAGATTTGTTGCAGATTAATTGAGCATTCCAAACAGCATGTTTAATCTGATCATTCGAAGGACAATAGTGGAAGGCGGAAATATTGGTAGAGGAAAATGATGAAGAAGAAGCAGGAGATGCTGTTGAAGAGATCACCTTTGACATCACTTGTTTGTTAGCATGATCGACCACGCCTGGGGCGTACAATGTTCAACTCCCTCAGAATTTTACAAGCAGTTGGTATCACGCAGGAAGAAAATTAATAGACTGAAATAGACTTTATTTGAGTGGGTTAATGTTAAAAGCTTAGAATTATAAATGTCAATGTTCAATATCAGCATATCGAAATTATTATTGTTCAATCGAGAAAATTCACCTGTTTCAATACAAAAAATATAATTATTGATTGAGGCCAATGTTTAAAGTGACTATAGGCCTACAGCTTTTACTGATCACACGCCTACGATTATTAGTGCTTTAGCTTTTAACGATGAATTTTATTCTGGCAATAGTGTTCGCGTCGCATGGCTTCTTCACACACATTCCACTTTCGTAAATTCGGCCTCATGTAACTTAGATGACGGTAGTAAATTGGGCGCTCTTCAGGTCAAATTGTTTAAACGGGGGCCGAAACCTTGTCATGGGTGATGGATTTTCCGCCAACCAATAGGTCTACACTATCTATAGATTGGGAATGCTGAGGCAACAGATGGCAGTAAGAAAAATGCGGTTCTTCGGTCGTGTCATTCGCCATGAAGGCTTTTACAAAGAAATAATGCAAATGTCTGTCGAAGGAAGATGAAGAAGAGAACGACCAACAACATCATGGACAAGGAACATAAAAGAATGGACTGGACAAGGACTGACAAAGAATGCATCATCTGCTGGTGATCGAGAGTGTTAGCGAGCAATAGTGATGGTCACCGCAGCACAACTTGCGCCATCGAACTAAAGAGAAATTTTTAGGAAAACCAAACATATTATTCTAAAAAAACTATTATTATTCTATAAAAAATATTATTACAAAGAGCATAATATTTATCTCAGACCAATTGTCCCGCCAAACCGCTTTCGAAAACCGAGCATATTATTCTATTAAAAAACTATTATTATTCTATTACCGTATAACATATTATTTTAAAGAGCATAATATTTATCGCAGCACAATTGTCCTGCCAAGCTGCTTTTGCCGTCTCTGTAAACGTCGTTTCTGCATTTTATATAGGATTAGTCTTTGTATTGACACTAGTAAATCAATAGTATTTCATATAATGCATTAATTTAAATAAATATTAAAACAAATCCGCAACGAGACATTGATCCCTTACTAAAAAAAATGAAAAATTATTATATTTTGTTTATTTATTATTTTAGACTATCATTAGGTAAATTATGTAATGCTTTTTTTTTTTATTACAATTGATGATACAAAATGTACATCTGAAATCGAATGAAAATCCTTAAATGACTGTGGCGACCGGGTGGTTTACACAGTACCTATGATTCTACAACAACACAACTATGTTCCAGATGTGATAGATCAACCGTCTCGACTTTAGTAATCCCAGTTAATATAATAGCCTATAGTTAATATATTTCTTGTTTCGAGTAGTTATAGATTGTACGTTTCGGTATGTCCATTCAGCTCAGTTTCAGTCTCTATTTAATCATTTCAATTTAACTGGAGGAAATCCTGCATTTTCGTTTAATAAAGTGTTGCATTGGTTAAAGGCCTTTCTGAATATGCTTATATGGCCTAATCATTCTGGTTTTCCATTGTTCCATTCTTTGTCTCTTCCTCATTCTTAATAATAATAATAATAATTATTATTATTATTATTATTATAATTGTAAATTAATGTAACATGCATAATGTAAAGACATTTTTGCAGCCCGAAGTGCAGTACGTTAATAAGGTGATAAATTATTCTAATGGTTTACCTAACATTATTCTATTTCTATGCAGATACTCATCAAAGCCTGTTAAGCTTCTGGATGAGGGCAGTGGCTGTCAGATGAACCAGTACACGGGGTACTGGGTTCTTCACAGGGCATATGAGCTTATAGTCTTCATTCGAAAAAACTTGCTCCACCTCCAGAGCCATAGGCAAGCGTGTGCCGTTCGAAACAGTATTCGAATAATTAATTTTTTAAAATCCTTTCTTTTCGTTTCCCATTCTTTTCTTCCCTTTTTCTTTTTCTTTTATTTATATTTTTTCTTTCTTTTCCTTTGCATCTCTATATTTTATTTCTTTACTGTTGCTTTTCTCCTTTTCCTTCTCTTATCTTTCTATTTCTTTCCTTTCTTTTTCCTTGTACTACAATTTCCTTTCTTGTTCCTATGTTTGCTTTTTTTTCTGTCTTATTTTTAACTTTTCTTTCCTCTATTTTTACCCTTTCCTTTTATTTGCCCTTTTCTTCTTTTACCTTTTAATTCCTTGCTTTTCTTTTCTTCTTGACTATTCTTTTCTCTCTTTGTTTATTTTTTTTTCTTTTCTTTCTTTTAACTTTTTTTATCTCCCTTTTTATTTCCTTTTCTATTTTTCAGAAAGCAGCATAGCTCAGTCGGCTAAACTGGTGGTAGCCACTTTGTCTGCGCTGAACCGTGGAGATCTCGTGGTCCCCGGTTTAATTCATAAAACTGCTCTCATTGTATTTCAGATGAAGGGCTGAAATATAAGTTAATATAGGGCACTGCCGTTCGGATGAAACGTTTAAGCCGTTGGTGCGGTGTGCATTATGGCCCATGTGCACGTTAAAAAACGCAGTACACTCTTCAGAAAAGTGTAGGTGATTGCCCAATCACCACCAGAAGAACCCCACTGGAGATAAGTCTTCTTCAGACTTTCGTGGGTAATACTTGGTGTTTACACCAAATAAATCCAACCACCCAACCTTTCCTTTTTAATTGTTTTTGATTAATTTCTTTTCCTTTCTTTTTTCTTTTTCCGTCATACATTTTCATTTTCTTTTCTTTCACTTTTTGCTTTTACTTCATTTTCTACATCTAAACCTATTCTATTTGCTTAAGAAATGGTAAGTTCTTGTCACTCAAACCAACTCTAAAGAACTCTTTCAGAATTGCACCAAGAAGTTGGCTACTTAGTTTTCCCTAAGCCACAGAAGGTCTACGTTCGGACAACTGAAGATAAGAACTCGGAACTAAAATTTTGATCAGATTACCCTTCTGTGGTCTTATTTAACATCCACCGAGGACTCTACACCTAAAATTCCGAACTATAAGATGAATGAAATGAAATGAATTTATGGACAGATTTTTCAACTAGCGCGACTCTAAAACACTCCTAAAACTATACTAATTTGGTTAGACCAAGATTGAAGTGTAATTGTTAAGAGTTTGATCTATCATACTGTAACCATGCTAATCAACTTGAATATGTCGAAAGATTTGCTCTAAAGGTTTTATGTAATAATTTGGAAATCTTATATCTCTGATAGATGTCAGCAATAAATATAACGTTGTTTAAGTTTAGGCTTTTAGCATTGTTCAGATTTGTAAACAATATCCACAATTTAAATATTGCCCTTTTTTCGAACCAGGCCGTCTTAACATTTAAAACAAGATGATCTGAGATTACAAACCCTCGCCCTTGCACCATATCTATACTAAAACACCGGCATTTATCTTTTTACCAATTACTGAGAAATCCTTTAAAAAATCCCATTCTAATTCTTATTAGCAGTAAATTCGTGGCAAATAGAATACTAATTTTTCATATTTTATTATTAGACCTTCTGGCATGCGGTCGCATTTATAGAATACTATTTTCTTCAATTTTTTCATATTTTATTATTAGACCTTAATCTGGCCCTCGGTCGATCCCATGGAGTCAGCTCAGCCTAGTCAATCAAGGCCTAGCATCATAGGCGTCATAGTACTTGGAGAGAGGCGAGGGTAATAATAATTCTAACCTTCAGGACTCTAGTCAACCATCGCGTTCTCATCAGGCACAGCTGAGTGGAACAGGTTAACAACCGGAAAAATCCAAATCTGTTTTTTGTTTCAAAATATATTACCACATGTTTCATAATGTATATTCTTGTGTATTCGTCTGTCTTCACTATTTTAAAAGGCCTTCACTATGTGGTCTCCCAGGGAACAGTGAAGTTGGTCTCACTTGCGTAACACATGACTTCATTATTAATAAGCAGAACTGTAAAAACACATCAAAATATACCAAATTGTCCTAAAAAACACCCGTACTGACAAGGGTTTTACTTCATACCAAACTGGGGCCTGCACGGCTCTCAGCCCCAGAGTGGTAGAGTCCGATAAAGCCTTAGCCACGGGCTCAGGCCATCGCTCTCCTGGATGTGGCAGTTGAATTTTGTTATACTTTTTTAAATCAATAGCCCTATTGTTAGTATTAGAATTGATATATCATTATCATCATTAACATTTTAAATATCACCATCAATATTAATTATTATCATTATTACTACTATCATTATAATTGAAATAAATATAATTATTTAATGGCAATTGGGTAATATCAAGTAAACCAAATAAATGTGACAATCCCTCTTTTTCAATAAGCAAAAACAAAACACGATTTAGCCTAATAGTATAATGATTTATTGCAATTTTATTTTAAACATTGTTTTAGGATCCTAACTAGAAACAACGCAACATAATTGTGATGTCACAATATCGTAGATTTAGTAACGTCGATAGCTTTTTTTTTTTTATTGTCTGAGTCTATTCATAATACTACAGCCAATAAGGACATAAAACACTGGTTCTAGCAAGGAGTAAAAACAGTCATTGATTCCAATCAGCAAAAAAAAAACACAAAAAAAACCCCAAAAAACCATTAATCAACAGTTTTAGTTAGTATTAGAATTGATATAATTATCATCATTAACATTTTAAATATCACCATCATTATTAATCATTATCATTATTACTACTATCATTATAATTGAAATAAATATAATTATTTAATGGCAATTGGGTAATATCAAGTAAACCAAATAAATGTGACAATCCCTCTTTTTCAATAAGCAAAAACAAAACACGATTTAGCCTAATAGTATAATGATTTATTGCAATTTTATTTTAAACATTGTTTTAGGATCCTAACTAGAAACAACGCAACATAATTGTGATGTCACAATATCATAGATTTAGTATAAGTAACGTCGATAGCTTTTTTTTAATTGTCTGAGTCTATCCATAATACTACAGCCAATAAGGACATAAAACACTTGTTCTAGCAAGGAGTAAAAAAAAAACAAAACAAAAAAAAAACAAAAAACAAAAAACCATTAATCAACAATTGAAGCACATCCCATATTCGATGTTTAAATTATACAACATTATAAATATAGTATTTATTTTAACGAGCATTTCGAATCTTGATGCATGACGTAGATGTGCGTTTGATATCAGATAGAATGTAACAAAATTGAAAATCAATTTTGTGATTAAGATTAACAAAAATATATGATTTTATATATATTTCAAATCTAGGCATAGTACATATTCATAGTAAACAAACACATTTCTCAGGAGGAATGTTGGTATAAGGAATAACATGTCTTCATAGAAGATATTACTGATTAGCTAATCAGAACAAGGTAGTATTGAATTATTGAACTGATGCAGCCTGTGCGATTTCTTATTCAAAGTTGAATCGATAAACATACACATGGCACCATGTTTTTCGACGGTACTTGGTAGGAGTTTTGACTATAAATACTGATGAAATTAATTTTAGTTACATGTAATGGTGATGGTTTTATATATCTCTGACTTCTTGTCTCAAATTGCTATATTAAATGTAAATAATGTAATATCTTGAATACTATCAAACTTAGAATAAAACTCATACAAACAGTAAACAAAACCATACACCATCACATCAAATGTACTTTATATATTGCATCATAGTTTGTTATTTAAATAAACATGGTGAATACACTTAATACATAGAATTCTAAAGATAAAAACATTGTTACCGGGACGTAGAATGTGCACCAAATTATTTTACTGATTTCAACACTAATCTACGCACGCTCGCCTCCAAAATGTTGTTTACAAATGGTGGCAGATGTTAACAACACCGGTGTAGTTGTTTCCATTCGCTTGGGCAGTTGAGCCCATACGACCTTTACTTACGAAATTTGTTTTCGCATCAATGGTCTTCTTCGGACTCAGGCTTAAGTGCTTCTCATGACCACCACTTTTGTTGTCTGCAGAACATTTGATGTCGTCTCCAGTGACATCTGACATTTCAGAGAAGTCTGAGTCGATGTCAGAATCATCAGATGAACAAAGACCTTTGGTGAGCTTGAAGTTATGCACGACCGATTGCTTCTCTGTTGTTTCTATCACAATTTTGATGTCACTTGTTGCCGAAGTGATGTACTCTATACCCTTCTCTAACAAGAGTTCGCGTGCCGAGGTTTGAATCAATTGCCAATCTTTGAGGATATCAGATTCTTCAGTGTATTGGGACGTCACAGTGAATCTCATCACGAACTGGCCTTTAACAGACGCGGGAACTCCATAAAACTTACAAGAGGAATTGATTCTGCGCAGAAGCTCCGCCGTCAATTTACACGAATCCTATTGAAATGTAAAGTCAATAAAAGATTATTTGCTACCATAGCAATCAAGAAAATCAAGTGAATAGCATGTTATTTAAACTAAGGTTCTTTTAGTTAAACAAACATAAAGATGCTTTGATAAATGTAATGTATACATTAACATTTCTAAATAATGAACTCAGTTTAGCATTTGAATATTTTGTTTCAATTAACGAAATGTATGAATGACTTAAGTACAATGTTTGAATTAAGGAGTCGTTCATGAAGAAAAACAAATGCTATACATGATTCCTTTTCAAACCAGCAAAACATTTCTTACTTTTAGTCGAATGACGATTAAACCAAGAACCCTCTTGGCTGCCACTGCAAAGTTGCAATCTTGCCTGACAAGATTCTCGAAATATTTCGCAAGTGCTACTCCCTGAAAGTACAATTTAAAAAAAATAAATAAATAAAAAAAAAAACACTTAAGACTTAAGCTTGGTTTCTATACAATCGCTACACACTATCGCCGGCAGCTTTCGGTGATGCTGATATTGGTCGGTCAAATCAGAGGGCCTCTCCGATTGCGTCGGGTACTGCTATGCAGTAAAGCGTTTGCACTGTAGCGACAGTGTAGTGATTGTAGGGAAACCAAGCTTTAACATACCGTTTAAATGATATTGTTTTGTCTTGGAATATCTTCATCTGCATTCAGATTTATATTCTAAAGAAAAATTCTACGTTTTTGTTGGTCTCAGTAATGAACGAAACATGTGAATTATTTGCAACACATTTTGCGAACTGTCCGTTATATGTTTCTTCATTATTTATTTATTAGCTCCACTTCTGTGTTATGTTCGACGTGATTGTTTGACAGACGTTTTTTTATTGGAGCAAAAAAAGCAAAACTACTGTTTTGTTTGTTGATGGTACCATATAATAAAGTTGCTAGTTGAGCCATTCTTTCTTAAGATAAAATGCTTATTAAGTAAACAAATATGTCTGAACACATATAATAAAGATATTTACCTTTCGAATATGCTTCTGTAGACCATCCACTCCAAACGAACGCATCACAAACCACAACTTAAGCGATCTAAAACGTCGGCTTAGTGGGATCTGCCAATGCTGTTACAATAAATATTAATGATAATAACTAGCACGGTGTTAGTTGAGTGAAGGAAGGTATATGAGGCATTTATTATAGCTGAATGCTGTGGGGAGTTAAGGAGGCCATCATTGAGAATGATATGGCTACCTTGTCATAATTGTTGTAAAGCACCTATTGAAGACAACATTTTGGGTGAATGTTTTATTGCTGAATTGTCCTTGTGAGGAATGGTTGTCAACTTTAATAGATACATTGTAGAACCCTCTAGCACGTGAAAATGCAACATATAGTTGGCTATGAAAGAATACGGGGGCTGGGAGGTATATTCCTAGTTTATCGAATGTCTGGCCCTGGGATTTGTTTATGGTCATTAAGTATGCAAGTCTAATAGGAAATTGTATCCTTTGCAGTGTGAATGAGAGGTTAGGGTCTGATGGAGCAAGTTTAACTCGCGGAATGAGGACTCTTTGTGTGACGTGACTTTCTGTGAGGAAAAAAAATATGTCGATACGACACTCTGTTAAGGAGTTATAATTCTTTAAGTAACATGACCTTCGAAAAAATGGCCAGCATGCTACATGATAATTCGGTCCTAAGTACTGTATGAATAAAAAAAATGGAAATCTGTTTAATCTGTCAAAAGTTAACTGGAAAATAGATGACAGATTTTGTATAGTGTGTGTTGCTATATTTAAGTTTTAACAGACTAAAGAATTTTTTGTTGTTATTCATACAGTATTTAGATATATCCTTTGCGAAGATTAAAAAAAATATGTCGATACGACCCTCTGTTAAGGAGTTATGATTCTTTAAGTAACATGACCTCCGAAAATTATGGCCAGCACGCAATGATATTTGGTCAAACAGTGAAATAATGGCAATGTGTTATGTTAATAACACTACACAAAATTGGTCTTCCCTTTTCCAGTTAATTTTTGACAGACTAAACAAATTTACCTTTTTTTTTTGGTATTCATACAGTATGTAGATATATCCTTTGCGAACATTTTAAAGAATAAATTATGTTGATACGACCTCAGTTAAGGAATTATGATTTTTTAAAGTAACTTGACCTCCGAAAATATGACGTAAACGTTATGTTATTTCTACTGGCTGCGCTTCCCTGCTCAGCACTGTTTTTTTATCGAAGTTGTCTACCGCAGCGTAAAAAAATGCGTATTAGGCGTATTTAAGCCTGACCCTCGTTACCTCTGAAAGAAAAGCTGTTTTAAGGTGTGATGGATTTGTAAAAGAAAACAGTATTTTGCGGTAGAAGACCATGCCCTATCTTCAGTATACACTGTACAGTCAGCGGTCCCGCAGCAGTACAACCCAGAGGTGAAGGAACTAGGGGGTGCTGCGTTATGGAGAGTAATGTGTGACCGGAAATGGTCTGCAGTCAGTTGGTTATTACCATGCGCCAGTGATGTTGGAGTACAGCAAGATAAAATTATTTATGTAATGCACGAATAAAGTTCGGGGTTTATCGGGTAATGAAATGATTATTGTACATTTTAAGTGCTTCCTCCACGCATAAGTGTAAGCTAAATTACACTGATTAATTAGCGAATTAGCGAAACAATTATTTCGAAGTTCCCTCTTTCTAAGAGGGGATGTAAATGCTTTGTGAAAATGAGGACGCCGCGGTAATCATTTTCACAAAGGAATACACGCAGCTGGTTAGCTAACAATATGCAAATGGTACATGAACACCTGGGAAGGAAGGTGCAATATCACGTTTTGTTGCCTAGCATTCGTCTGTAGTACTGGGGGCTAGCCTACTGATGTACTGTGTAGAGGGGGACGATTAGGCATAATAAGACTAGCCTATGCCTAAATAGACAGTGCAATTATATGTGATAGAAAGTACACTTAAGAAGAAAAAAATAACTAAGAATAATTCAGTTGTAGAAGTACCTTGTTTAACTATTATACAATGCTAACAATGCGGCTCTTGTAGCCCTAGTTAGGCAAGGCATCCATGTGCAAAGCAGTGGTGTTTATCCATGAAAAAAGCACGCCGGGAAAGTTTGCCTTACCAGTAAAAGGTGACGTAATTTATGACGTATGCATGCTAAATATATTGCGAGTGTGACGTCACCAAAAAATAAAAATTTTCTATTATAACCAAAATATAATAACTACAAGGTTTGTGGGCGTAAATTCCATAAATACGAATTAAGGGTAGCACCATCAAATGTAGCCATACAAATTACAGCTCCCATTGAGTCGAGAAATACGGGTAGCTGAAGTTTTTCTCGCAAATCTGACTACAAAACCATATCCAAATTTCACTTTCTACTTCTGACTCTGATTCGCACACGGCGCTGAGGGCGGCGTTCCGGGAACCCTGCGTCGAGGATGATTTTCGCCACTTACGGTTCACGACGTAAAGAACTGGATTTGACGGTCTGGACCGATGTTACGTTGACGCGACTACGACGGTTCAAAACAAAGGAGAATGCTGTAGTGTTTATGTGACGTAAAGAACTGGGATGCAATGCATGTGTTTATTTGACGGTATGGAGCGATATTTTTCTTGACTCAAAGCTGTGCGGTACAGAAGAGATACTGTGGTGTTTATGTGACGTAAGGAACTTGCGAAACATGGCGAAACAGGTACTGATTTTCAGTGGTTTTTTGCTGTTTTTTTCGCTGTTAACCAATATCCAGCCTTGAAAAGTAGCGGAATTTGGTCATGACATATAGAAGCCCAGTGTATGAGATATGAGCACATTCCTGCCAGCGGTTTCAGAGGAGATGGGGGAAGTTACGCGGTGGCGATTAGCTGAATTAATATATAGATAATAATAATAATAATAATAATAAAATTAATAATAATAATGATAATAATAATATCAATAATAACAGGCCTAATTAGTATTATTACAATAGAAATAATAACTATTATTATATATCAATTGGAAATATATTATTAATAATTAATATTATTAATGAATTATAAATATTTTTAGCTACTAAATTTACCTTTAACGATTTCAGTAAACGTTTTGAAATGTGTGCTAGATGCTTCCAAAAACGGTCTATGTTTCAGGAAATAAACGCCAATAACTTTTATAGAGCGCCGCGATTGAATAAGTAGTCGTTCGAATAAACGCTCTTCAAAAGAACGCTGAGAACTTTCGTAGGCGTTTGAGTGCATATTCGCACTGGTACGGTATGCCTGGGTTTTCCCCCTTCCAGATCCTAAAAGATCAGGATATTTAGGGGCCCTCTTAAATATATAAAATAACATGAAATAAAGTCTCATTACGAGGCATTGGGAGTGGAGATGTGTTTTAGTGGTGAAAAAAAAATCCTGTGTTGTCCCCGAATTTGACCCCAGAATCTTAGAGCCCCAAATCTTGGGATTGAAAGGCAAGCATCTTAACCACCAAGTTACATCTCCACTCCATTAATTAAATTTTCTCACCATATAGTCAACTGCAGCGCCCTCATTTTCGTGTTGGAGGTACAGCGGATTGACACAAAACGTATTATGGAGAAGGCGACTGTCACTAACCCTATTAAACAAATAAACACATTCATCTTGGTAAATACATCATGCATAATTATTGTTTAAATAACTACAAAATAAACTGATAAATCCCACGCGTCTGTAGACTTGTACCACCACACACCCCCGTACCCACCTACGACGAACAAATAAGCTATTGTAAACTTCCTACAGTAAATTGTGGTTTGGGTCTGTGTGCTTTGGTGAGTGACATATTCTTTTATGTTCCTACGTTGTAAAATACTTATAAAACAAATTTAATCTACATTTTTTTTTATGATTTTTCTTACTATATCTAACCAGGGCATAAAACAATATATTTATTAGGGAAACCTAACACTACAAACACCTTTTATTTATATATGATATATTTATATATGATTTCAGTACGTAATGGAATGAAGCTCAATTTATACGAATCATACATGTATGTCTAATGATTATATATTGTCAAAAATAATTAAATGATAATCGAGTAATATTAAAAGATGTCAGTTCAGGTCACTTAACATTTTTTTTTCTGATCAGAAAGCCTACCCCACCGATAAATTGAATCAGTGTGTAAGAATAGGGACGCTGGCGTTCTGTGCATCGGAAACCAGGCATGAGTTTGGTTTAAATCCGATGTTGTGAACGCAGCTTAAAGCTTGATCCTGAAACTGCTAGGCATATGCAGCCCAATAGATCTATTTCAAAACACACATTCTTCAGTTGTGCCTCCAAAAGCTTTCCGACAAGAGGGTCCAAACCAAGAGGTCATTAGAGCCTTGATTGTCAGGGTCCAGGAATAATGGGGCTCTTGGTTAAGATGCCCCAAAATTGTGCTTTTAGACCATGATATTAGCGATTGTCAATCAAGATAACGTTGTTTGGATCAGCAGATTAATATATTTACCCGACGAACTCGTCGGACAACAGGTGTCCATAACTGTCTCATGAGGAGGAAATCTCCCCACCCACA